AACCGGTTCGTGGAGGTCATTAAATTCTAAGAACAGGTTCGCATGAACCGGTGCGAACCGGCTGAATCCCACCACTGCCTAGTTGTTAAGTTAACAGAGACAAGGTCCAATATAAAAGAAATATGAAACAGATTAGCTGCTATACAAGTGTGGGCCTCCAACTTCTGACAAGGGGAATAAATTACATCCCTATTGGACTCCATTACAATAAGAGCTTAATAAAAGTCGGGTAAAACTTGAAAGTAGCATTATGGGTTGATACTTTCTGCTTTCAGCTATACACCCAAAACATGTATTCTTATGCATTTTTACTGGGCCTTACACTGAAAAAAACATTAAGAAAATATTCAGTAATACTATGTTTTTGCGTAATATTTCAATATGTATGATTAAAAATATTCAATCATGACCAAATAAAACACTGGTCATCAAGTCATAGATTGACTTCACTCATTGCAAATAAACATGTTTATCTCTAGGATATTTTTATGCAGCCGTGGCTAAGGCTCACAAACCACCAACTCAAGAAAGTAATCTTTTGTAGTAAAAGGTGTTGTTTATTGTGTTTGATTTTTAATAAATATGAAATTTTAATATACTAAAACTCGGAACAAATTCCTGTATGCGTTAGGTAATGAATGGATGAAAGTGCAGAATGTTAGCTCGTTGAATTTTCGTTATTGTTTTGTTTCAGGATTTTAGATTCTCCTATAAGTTATAGTCATCGCCAACCGTGGTTGGAAGTCCGATTTTCATTTGGTTAAATTTGAATAATTTTATTCAATATATTTTCGAACTAGTTAAAACTATTTTTGCAGCATACTAATAATATGAGTAGGAGTCTCCAGTGCCGTTGAACTTTTTTTTTCTTTTTTTGGCCAATGCACACCTCACCTTGTGAACTTGTATTGTAAGTTGTAACTTTGTATTTTAATTTTTATTGCGAACGGGACGCACGTGGTGTGAAGTAATCTACAAACGTTAAGGCCTAAGCTAAGTATGTTATTATTATTAACATAGAATGATAGATGAGGTAATTTTTGTGAAAAAGACAAGTTGAAGAGCCACAGGTACTTTCTTAGTTAAAATTCAATAAATATAACATTTAATTAGTGTTGAGTGTTGGTTACTTTCGTTGCAACTGGCACTGAACCTCTTGCCCTTTAACTTCAAAGTTCAAATTCAACTGTTCAACTTCAAGTACTATAGTATATATTATATTCAATTTATAGTATTGCTACGTATTAGTATTAAGTATAATTTTTATTGCTATTAGAAATTAAAATACTGTTACTAATACCAGGACTGTGGTAATTATCCAGTAATACTAATATTGATATCTGGCCGATATAAAAGCCAGTGTGCGTCACGTCACGCTTGAGTTCTCGAAATAGGAGTCATCATTTATAGCCAAAATGCATTTATCCAGATGGAATAGTTCGATTGCTGTCTGTTCATTACGATTTTAGTGAGGGGTGTGTGTGCCGTGAAACCTTATAAGTGTAGTGAGTATTGGTATAATATTATTATTAAACCTAAAGTAAAGACATAGTGTGAGATCACCTACCCTAGACTAGAGCCAAGTGCATAAAATTTATCATGAAAGTCAAAATATCAATTCAATTTTAAATTTAAATTGTTCCTGAGTTAAACTGTTTTCTGTTATATTACCAACGTTTTTAATAAAAAAAACAAACCTCTTTAATCAACAGAGACTCTTTTTAAGTTCAGAAATCAACAAATATTTTTCCAGTTTTGTTGTCTATACATTTCATTTTATGCTTTCAGTACACATACTAACAACAATATTAGGTTATACTTTTGTTGCTAAGCAACATGATATAAAAGCCATTGTTGGAATGTAGTATTACCAAAATGCACTGGCTTTTTCATATATTAGAAGTTGTTAATCTAACTAATTTTTACTAATAATTATTCTATGAATACACCACAAATTCATTTCATGAATTATCTTAATGTTGATTGGCTTGCAAAGGTATTTACCAATGTTTGACAACCTCCACTGCACTTTTTTGCCTGTGTTGGTCAAACATACACTATGGGGTGGGGGTGGTAGTACTTGCCCAATCATTTTTGACAAGATATATGCTAGTTTGTAAGTAAATGGAATGGCCGTGAATTCCACGTCTTATTGTTTGTGACTCAAGCTATTAAACATTCCTTGAAAATCTTGATTTCTCTCTACTAAATCTTTAATTAGTTGAGCTGAACTACATATTGTGGAATTCTAAGTATTGAGTTTTGCTACAAATTTAGAAGAACTTCTGGGGCTCAAGGTTTGTTTGTTTGTTTTGGAATTTCGCGCAAAGCTACACGAGGGCTATCTGTGCTAGCCGTCCCTAATTTAGCAG